CCCTAGGAGTCAGATCCGACTCAACAGGCAACAACATGTTGCCATTTAATATCATTTCATTCTTGAAACAACCTTGGGAAGTAGGTTTTTGTTAACTCATTTAACAGAAGAGGATCTCAACTGGACTGCTAACTACAAGGTCATTGGTTCAAATCTATCAGCTGCTCCTTGGAAAACCCTATACGGGGTCTCTATGAGTCAAGAGCAACTTGATGACACTTAACAACAACAATGTCATTTTTGTCTTCTAACAACTTGGGAGGTAGGTATTGTTAACCCATTTAACAGAAGAAGATCTCACAGTTGAGTCTTAGTGTTCATAGTTTACATCTGTGGCTCAGTTCCTCTTGAACCCATATGTGATATGTGATGCTCTTCGGGTTCTTCCTCCGGAGTTGTGGGTAGTGGCACACAGGTAAGATAGGAAGTGGCACTGTAGGCTCCGTACAGGGCTGCAAGGCCAGTTTGTTCCACAAGGTTGGCAGTTCAAAGTTATCAGCCGTTCCTCAAAACCCCTATGCTGGGCTGCTGTGAATCAGAGCTGACTTGACGGCTCTTAACAACAACATTGTATCAGAGTAGCACACGTAATATCAGAGTAGAGGTAAACCTGTGCTTACCTTGCTTACTGGGTAGTAGGCCCTTCCTGTCAGATATTGTCAATGTAAAAAGAGCCTTTAATTCTGAATATGCTGTGGGACTCGGCGACACATGCCAGCCAGACAGAGAAGCAGAACCTTTGATATGGTGAAAACATGTGAAATTGTTCACTCGGGAGGAGTAAGGACGCACAAGCATGCTTACTTGGGTACTCGGTTATCTGATACTAGTAGTGCAGTGGGCAGAGCGTCAAAGCAGGAATCAGTGGAGTGGGTGATTTGGGTCAACCCTAATCCACCGGTCAGTGCTTTGAAGATGGCTCAAGTGTTCACCAGGACCAGGAGTCCTGGGGTGGCGCTGTGCGTTAGTGCGCTGGACTGCAAAATCAGCTTAAACCGCAAGATTGGCAGTTCAAGCTCACAAATCACTCCTCGGAAACCCTGTACAGGGTCAGAACTGACAACAGCAAGTGCCCACCGGGGGATGTGAGCCCAGGAAGTGGTATTGTTTGTGCGCTTCTCTCTTCCTCTCAGTGCACATTACACGTGAGGGTCTCCATGTCAGGGGCCAGGTCTGACTGCCTTTGGGGTCACCCAGACATGGTTCCACCTGAAGGGGTCCCTGTCTTTGCAGAGGATAAAGCACACAGATTTGAAATGCCCCTCCACAGTCTACGAGCACAGTCTGGTAAGCCTGCGGACAGAACGCCTGGTGAAATACCAAATCAGAGCCCAGACCCTGGTCAATGGCAAGTGGCAGAACTTCAGAACCAACCAGATCATGCAGAAGTTCGGGCTCTTCCAGCCATCCTGCAAAAGCCATGTAAATGTATCCCTGTCTTATCTCTTCAGTCTGCTTTCTACTTTTCCTCTCCCCACCTCCCTGGGGATCCCTGGCTTGGGGTCTCTAGGTACGTACATGAGACACTCAGTTTCATAAGTATTTCTTATACCTCCACATGATAAAGAAAACCTTCCAGAGTGAAAAGTTGGGGCCACTCATAACTAGAACCCAGATTCAAGTCACCTCAGATCCATCTTTGATTATGCTGTCAGGAGGGACCAGTCCTTGGAGAAGGACATCATGCGTGGTAACATGAAGGGTCAGTGAAAAAGAGGAAGACCCCCAATGAGATGGATTGGCACAGCGGCAGCAGCAGTGGGCTTAAGTGTAACGACGATTGTGAGGATAGTAGTGTTTTGCTCTGTTATGCATCGGGTCACTGTGAGTCAGAACCAATTCAATGTCACCTAACAACAGCTCCATCTAGAAATGTCTAAGGGTATTTGTAGCAGGGGAGATGAGGGGCTGGCAGACTGCTTTTGCTGTCCCATTTCCACTAGTAACTGTAACACCCATCAGTTCCCCTGAAATCCACAGCCCAGGCCCAGCTGCCTCACTCTGCCTCATCTTGGGATCACTGAACCCACCCACCTCAGTGGGCAGTGCCAATATCCAGGGAGATAAGGCACCTGGTCAGTGTCCAGGCGTGCCAGAGAGTCTATGTTTGTGGTTTTAGGAAGAACTCTCGGGACTGTGAATTCCAGGAGGTCAGGGGCGAGCTAGCGCTGCCCTGGGAGGAAGAGACATGCTGTAAACCAGTGGGTAATTCTCGGCCCTGGTGCACCACAATCACCTGGGGCTACCCAGGTGCTACCCAGATCAAGCGAGTAGATACTCTGGGTGGGGCCTGGGTAGCAGGAGTTTATAAAACTTCCCAGGTTATTTTCTATGGTGTTGGAGATCAGAATGGCAGTTAGTGTTGTGGGGATTGCTCAGGGGAGGGGCAGGAGGCAGAAGGATAGGTTGGGATATTAGTCAGAAAAGAACATGAAGGAGATTTTGGAAGGTATTGTAGTGTGCTTAACTTTGGTCAAAGTGGTGGCCACACAGACATGCCTGCTTTGTGAAAATTCATCCAGCTGAGCCCTTGAGGGAATTAAGCTACACTTAAATTATTTTTCAAGTATAATTTTTCAAGACTCCCCCTGGATGATTCTAATGTACAAGCTCAGTCGTTAGGTCTCCCCCTGCCCCGCACCCCTTCCAAAAGGCAGCTGGGTTCAGTCCCTAAAGGGTCACAAGCTTTCCTTTGTTTTCTCTTCTAGACCTTGAAATTCCAAACTCTGGGCATCCCCATCTATGCAAGTTTCACATTCATTTTCCCAGTGTCTTGAGAGTACCCAGAAAAGTCAATGAGATTTTTTTCTTTTTCTTCCATTGACCTTCATAAAAGAAAATAACATTAAAAGGAACACTCAAGTTTCTTGGCTCACAATGGTGTCATTACAACAGTTTTCCACATCAGTGTCGTGTGGGGATTGAGGCCTTAAACTATCGTTGACTACAGAGCACCCACATACCCCACCTGGTCCCCTTCTCGTGACACCTCTCTGCCTGTTGCCTAGGACATCATACCTGACAGTGGTCCCCACACAAAAGTTGAAGTAGGAAGAACAGCATGAGGTCGTTAGGGACAGAATGGCATCTCTTATTTACCATGCTGCCGCTATGAATGCAGCTTCCTAGTTTGGAGACAATGAGGCGGAGAGCTTTTTTTCCCACCGTGGATCAGTGTTCTGTTGCTGCATCACAAGGTGCCACAACTGTAGTGACTGAAAGCAGCCCACGTGGAGGTTCTCACAGTTGTCACAGGTCAGGAGTCTGGTACAGGTAGACTGAACCGCCAACTTTTCTGTTAGGAAAAGCATTAACCATCGACAGCACCCAGGGCCTATCCCTATTCTGATACACGTGGGGTGGCCCTGAGTCTGGGTCATCTTAACAGCAACTGGTCAGGAAATTTAATGAGACCAAACCAACTGCTGTGGATTCCAGTTCGTTATATACAACCCTGGAGAACAGAGTAGGAATGCCCCATTGGGTTTCCAAGACTGTCCCCTTTACGCGAGCAGACGGCCACGTCTTTCTCCCAGTGAGTAACTGGTGGGTTACTAGTGCTAACCTTTCGGTGAGCAGTCAAATGCTTACCCACTGCACTACCAGGCTGCTTATAGGAAACAATACAGGAGCCAAAATCTGAGTGCCAAAGGTGTGAAAAAAGGCAGTTCCGGAAAGAATAGAGAGCAGTCCTGGGGGACAGAGCCATATCACTGCCTCCAGAGCAGCCACAGGAAGCCACACAGGGCCATTAGAGGGAGGGGCCTTCTGACATCATCCCCAGCATCGATTGTAGGGGGGGGGGGTCCACAGGTCGAGTGAGTGCTTGTGACAAAGCATGTTTGATCCTCAGGCTCTTGGCTTACACACACCATTCCACAGAGGTCTGCCAAGGCCCCTAGGTGGTAGCTGCATTTTCCACCATGGAGAAGGGCTGAGCCCATCTGAGGTGTTTCAGAGTGGCCGACTCAGGCCTGGACACAGAGCCCACATGTTTTTACTGAGAAGAGGTGAGATCTCAGATGGCGGCTTATTCAGTCCTGATCGAACATCCTCTAGACACTCGACACAACTGCGAAGTGAGCGCCCGGCCGCACTGCCTGGTGCTCTGGAAAGGGGTGAGGAGGCGGTGCATGGTGGGAGGCACACTGGTGGGGAGTGTGCCCCCCCACCCCGTACTGTTCACGCGGGCGCTGTCTGAATGTGAATCAGCTTCCCTGGAAGCTTGTCAAGTGCCAAACTGTAACAGGGTGACACCAGGAACCCCCTCTTTAAGAAGGACATTCCCATTACTGTAGAAAGTGTTGCCCTAAAATTTCCCTCAGTTTTCTCTGCTCTCATCAGAGGTTTGTGAGGTGAATACTGGACGTCTGGGTGGATAGACCCCACCCACAATCTGGCCATTCTGATACAGAAATGATCTGATCGTCTGATCTCTTCCCAGGCTGCTCCACTGTGCCCTGCATAGCCAATGTTTTCCTTACCCAGGGTGTAATAAAAAGGAAAAACCAGCTCATTTTTCTTACCACCCTGGCTTATTTTTTAAACCTAATTTCCTGTTGTTGTTAAGTGTCGTTGTGACCCTGTGGGTTTGAACCACCGACCTTGCTTAGCAGTCCAGTACTTATCCTACAGTACCACACCAGGGCCCCTAATCACATCAGAATATGAAATAAACAGAACCTTAAAAGTGAGGGCCCCCCCCAATAAGGAAAATATTGCTGCTAGAATCCAGAACTTCATCCCTTACCACTAGGGGGCAGAGTCCACCTCAAATGGGAGCCAGAATCCTAGTGACTGAATTTGCATCCTAAAAATGCCACGCCCTCCATTAGTGATTGACAGTGAGTGTCTGTGGAACGTGGGTTGGGTTTTGTCCACCCAGACGTCCAGTATTCCCCTCACAAACCTCTGAAGAGAGCAGCGAAAACTCAGGGAAATTTCAGGACAGCGCTTTCTACAGTAATGGGAAAGCCCTCTCCAGCTTGTCCAATACGGTATCCACTAGTCACTTGAACCAAGGCTAGTGCAAATGAAGAGCTAAGAGTTTCCTTTTGCATCATTTAAATTTATTTAAATTTAAGGAGCCATCAAGGCAAATGGAAGGGACAAGGTACCAACCACCCACCTTGAGTAAAGAGTGGGCCCTCTCTGACTTTTGAAACGCTCAGGGGTTCTGAGCTTCTTGGCCTCTCCCAGGACCAGGATGAGAAGAGACTATCAGTAGCAGCCAGAGGCAGTCCAGCGACTCCTGGGTAAAGCCACCTCCCCAGGCCAGGTTGGAGCTGAGCTAGGGGAGAGGAAGATCCTAAGCCAAGGGAACAGCCCTCAGCTCTGGTTTGTCCCCAACACAAAAACACAGGAGACTTGTGTTCTGTTTGCTGACTTAACAATGAACCATGCCATCTTTGAGCTTTCTTACCTTGACTTTTCATTCATTTCACAGATTTATAGTGAGCTACCACTATGGAGCTCTGATAGCGTAGTAGTTATGAATCGGGCTGCGAACCGCAAGGTAACAGTTTGAAACTACCAGCTGTTCTGCAGGAGAAAGAAGAGGCATTCTGCGCCTGTAAAGATTTACAGTCTCAGAAACTCTGTACAGGGTCGCTATGAGTCGGAACCAACTCCACGTAACAGCAACAACAACCACTGTGGACCAGGGGTCCCTGAGGGCACAAACAGCTAAGCACTAGACTACTAACTGAAAGGTTGGTGGTTCAAACCCACCCAGAAGTGCCTTGGAAGGCCTGCCAATCTATTTCCCAAATTGAAAACCCCAAGTTGCCCAAGTTGCCGTGAGTTAAAATTGATGTCCAACCTTCTGCTCTGGAGCAGGCCCCAGGTTAGGGGTACAATGTGAGCCACCAGTGGGAGCCTGCAGGGTGCCTCCCTGCCCGAGAAACGGAGCCCGAACTCTCCCTGCAAGCAGTGCTCAAGCTGAGATCTGATGTGGGAAGAGGAATTAAAGGGAGTTTAGGAGAAGATTCAAGTCCAGACACCAGTATGTGTAGAGGACAAGACACCAATATGTGCAGAGGACACCTTAGAGAAACCTGGCCAGCGTGTGCGCAGCCCCTCGGGGCTCTGGTCTCTCTCTCCCAAGAGCAAGAGGAGGCTGAGTTGTCAGCAGGGGTTTGAGCTGATGACGTTGGGCATTTATGAAAGGTCATTCTGGGTGAACTAAGGCAAAAGGAGCGGAGGCGGTCAGGGCGGAAGTGAGGAGGCGGGTTAGATGCTTTTGTGGTAAGGGTGGCGTGGGCACGCATGACGTCCACGGAAGTAGAGAGACAAGGACGGACTACGTACGCGAGACGCCGACTTCCCCAGCTCCGCTCTGAGGAAAGAGCCCTCGGTTTCCCAAGCTGATAGCACCCACCAGGGGTCTGCTGTGGCCACACTGTGTGTGTGCTGCCTGCCAGCCCTGGGCACACTGATTTGTATGTCAAAGGACATTCTGTACAGGGCTAGGAGTCAGAGTAATTGGTACCGCCTTCCTGAAGACAATATTAGAAAAGGCCCTGTGAGGCCAACCACCTGGCCGATCATTATAATCATTTAAAAACAGTTGCTGTTGAGTTTGTGAGACGTAACTCTTGTGGGCGTGGTCCATCTTCAGGAATTCATGAGATTGCTAGGCCTGGCAAACAGATTGTTGATTTACATACAGGGAGGGATCTCTAGGACCAGGAAATTTAAATAGGATACAGCCATTAAGACAATGGGCCAGCCATTTTGGCTTCTCTGGGGGGAGGGAAAATGGGACATGCCATAGAATTGTGTATGGGAGCCTGGAACTGGAAGACGGGCTTTTTGGAGACAAGTATAAAAACCATTTATGGCAAGCCACGTGGTGTTTGTCTATGGGGCAGGGCGCCCGATTTTGCAAAATCGAATAAAGAAAACGTCACTCTCACTAAAATGAGTACAGATTGGATTACTTGAGCGTTTTGTCAGTATAGACGTTTCTCACAAATTCATCCCATGGCAACCCCACATGTTGCAGAGTCTGCTCTGGGGGTGGGGGTGGGGGGGTCGAGGCTGTGACCATTCAGAAGGCCTATTCTTCTGGGATGGTCAAGCTCTTAACCGTTTGCACCACCCTGGGACTTTGTTGTAAAAATGGCCTCAAAGAATAGCACCTCCTGTGTCCACACCTGCTTGTTACCTGGAGCTGCTGCTCTGCCCATCAAGAGTTGAAGTCTAATCCACCGGCTCGGCTCTGGGTTGGCCTACAGCTTGTTTGGGCCAAGACAATGTGGCAGAAGTAACCGCACGTGAGTTGGGGAGTTCAGGCCTTGGAGACCTTGCAGATTCATTTTTTCTCTCATGGAACCCTGACATCACATGGGGGCAGCAGGTCTGTCCATCCTGCTGAGAGGGGTGACCTTGGTAAGGAGAACTGAGAGACCAGAGCCACCTGCCAGCACCTATCTGTAGTCATGTAAGTGAGGCCATCTTGCACCTCCCAGTTTAGCCCATCCCCTCTGCCTTCAGTAAGAATCACAAGGATTCTCACACCAGCCAACCTTCAGAACCAGGAGAGAGAGCTCATTGTTGTTTAAGCTCCTACGTTTGGGGGCAGTTTCTTACCCAGCAATGTTGTTATGAGCTGCCCCAGAGTCAGCCCCAACTCACGGTGACCCTATGTACAACAGAACAAAACACAGATCAGACCGTTAGGGACCACGGGGTTTTCATGGGATGATTTTCAGAAGTACATCTCCAGGCCTTTCTGCTTAGTGTGTCTTAGTCTGATAGCTCCACTGAAACATGT